TTTCGAGGAAAAGTAGGAGCGGGAATTTTCGGAAAAATTGGTAGGAAGTTGGGGAAACTCTGAGAAGTTTTTCCGTTCCACATTGGCTATGTATTCCCGCCCCGTGAAAAACTGGAAAATGTGGGAAGTTGGTAGGCAGGTGTAAGGGAAAGGGACCCCTTAGGTAGGAGGAGGGGTCGACTGCCACCCTTCCTCGAAGAGGGTGGGGGGTCGTACTGACACCACCATTTCACACATTAGGATGCTGTACCCTGTTCACAGCTCACCACCAAGCCTCCACCCTACTGCACCATTACAAACTTTACCTGCTCATAAGTTGCTTGTGAAATGCAGGTTGCAGTTTTGCTATCTATATTTGTAAATAACCTTATAGACTCTATCGATCTACCCAGGTCTCCATTCAAAGTTCCATGGTAAGTTGGCGGACTTCCCTGGTTAGCCCCAGTTTCCCGCCTCGTCATCTTTTTCTACCGTAAACCAGCGCATTTGGGCGTTTAGCTATTGCAATGCCTTAGCTAGAAGTTCCACCACCGAAGGCTTCGTGCAAGAATGAATTGAGAGCCCGTCAGGATTTTGAAAGACTTCGAACTTTTTTAAGGCACGCTGCAATATTTAAGAAAGCTCCGTTGTTGTGCCGCTAGGAAAGTAGCATTCTTGACACATTAAGGAGTTTAGCATTCTGACTTTGGGCTCCCTAGTGCTAGCACTGCTGAAGAACGAGGAGACTTTATTGACTAACTATAAAACAGGAGCAATGAAGAGGTAATGCGCTCTGTTACCTAGGCTTGTTTTTTTTCACTGGATTTACCCGGTTTTCTCAAATTGTCGATAGCAACTCGAGATCAGTGAGATATCAGTTTTGCTTTTAAATTATTCAGTTTTGTTCCCAGAAGCGATTGCCACCACTCAAGAGTTTGGGACCCAGCAAGATTTTGAAAATTCAAGATGAGCAATAATTGCTACGTGTACTGTTGAGCAAACTTCGCGCTTTGCTTCCCAGCTGTCAAAAAAAAGCACTTGAGTCAAGTGTTGGAGGGCTGGAGTTTCGGCGCCTCAGTTCGCCTTCGATCTCACCTGATCTCATTTGCATTTCTAGATGGCTAAAGGACGGTATAGATGTGAAGAGCAATATCGACTATCGTCAGGACTTCGTGAACGGCGTTGCTAGCCTCGTCATTGAGGTTTGAACTCTTCTTCTTTCTTGAAATATCATTAGAAAAATCTTTGACTCTTCTCGAAGACCTGTATATATTTGGAATGGAACAAATCATTAATATAACCAAAAGTGTTTGTAGTGTGAGCCTGAACCATTACTGTTCAGGAAACATTCATCGAAGACACTGCTACCTATACAGTACGAGCTGAAAATATCGGTGGTGTAGCAGAAAGCAGCGCTACATTGACTGTGAAGTGTGAGTGTATGAAGCATTCTTTCTCTTGTGCTGCTTTTCAGTATTGCATTGAAGCGATACTGTTGTCCAAAGTTACTCGATACCATTTCAGCTCGTTCTGCTATTTCGAGTCTGATGGAAGAGGAGAAGCCGCGATTCATCAAGCAGCTGACCAATGTGCAAGATCGTCGAAGGGGAAACGGCCACTTTGGACTGCGTCGTCGTTGGCAGACCGGAGCCCGAAGTGGTAAGGGAGAGGAGGGGAAGCGAATCACATCTGGAGAAGGGCGAACTAACGAAAACACATTGGTTGCCCATTAAGTAATGGCGTCTTTTTTTCTTCACGCAAGATTTTTATAATATGGAGAGAGAAATTATAAATTTTTCACTTATAGATAACTAATTCAGAGATAATTTTATCACTATAAACGGATAGCATAATTGCCTTCTTACTATTTCTTGAATTGTGTCGATTTTTATTTCATTGAAAGGGAAATTCGGGTCGACGCAAAAGTGAGTTTTCGACAACTACTTTTTGCCACTTTATCTCAGCCCTCAAACAAAACAGACAAAACACCAAAGAACCAGAAAAATCAAACAACAAGAAGAAGCTCAAATTATGATTGATATGATGACCATAGGAAGAATAAGAATTCTATATGGGCTTAGAAAGATATGAGATTCAACGCGATGAAGAGGTGGGAACGCTCGGACCTTGTAAAAATTCGCAACTCCTCCTCGGGAGCGACGCGTCAGCCTACGGAGGCCTAGTCACTCCACCCCAAAAATATAATTATTACACAAATGTCTGAATAGGAGAGAGTGAATAGTATATGTGCAGAACAGCAATTCAATAATCAACAATACATTTAAGAAAATAAACTACCAATAGAATAATATCAGATAAAGAAAGGATTAATAGAGATACAAAATATTGATAAAAGATAGATATTAGATCTATATTAAAGATCATTAGGAAATCTTATGAGATTGATAATACGGAGAGTATACATATTAATAGAAAGACAAGCATCACTATACGCAAACCAATAATTATTAAAAACTTACTAGATACTTGACGGTATATACTAATAATATATATTAAGATAAAATGGAGGCAGTCGGAAATGCTCAAGGGTCCACCTGAAAACAATCCATATATATATAATTAAATACAGAAAACATAAAAAAAACTGTCATGTATGGCAAGAATTCTCTACAGAAAGATAAACCGCTATGGCAACAATTTTCATCTTAGCGACATTTCGAGTGAGGAAAACGCATTACTTATAGGACCACCAGATCATACTCATTGGAGAGAATACAGGAAGATAACTAGCATATAAGATGACCAATAATTTTCAGAAACTCAGATTCTTTCTTCGCTGAAGAGGGAATCTGTACTTGTATCACAAATCCATTTTTCCTACTAAAGGATTCGTATAAACATTAAAATTTCACAGGCATAGTAAGGTAAAGTAATTGCTCACAGCAATATTGCCCTTTCATCTTATGTTAGCGATCGTAACTCACTTTGTTCCATTGCAGATATCTGGTTTAAAGAGAACGACTGTGAAAGAAGACCGAAGAACAAATTTGATGTTCACTGGTGAGCGACGTCTCTAAAAATATAACAAATAGAACAACGCAGGTTCGTTTTACTCCTTTTGTCAAATCAGAAATGAAACTTGTGGACTAGTAAAGTTTCACTGGTCTTCAGTTCTCATCGGACAGCGGACTGTACACGGTCAGAGCACGAAACGTTCATGGAGAGACCACTGCTTTCTGCCAGCTGAAGGTAATGGGTCTGCTTCAAACTATGACTGTGAGGATTGTGAAACATAAGAACGAGGTGAAATAGGATTCTCCTCCTGAGAGTATGACGGGACCGCTGTTGTTGCGGGCAATTATCTTCAGATTCCGAAATAAACTAACAAGCAGCCCAGGGCGCTTGACTTCTAAGGCAGAGGGATGAAAAATAAGTCCATGCCGTAAGAGATGGTGTCCCACAAGCTCGACGGTTACTCTCTTCCCATCGCACATATAGCGTCAGGAAGAAGGGAGCCCTCTAGAAACTTGCACGCGAGTGCTCAATTGTGGGAACTGTGCGATGGCTTGGATAATGCGAACAGTGTGGGCCGTCTTAAGCTCAGAGGAGAGCCACACAGATCGCTACACAGACACCCATTGTCATAGCCAGAGATAACAAAAAAACCAAGAAAAGAGAAAACATAGTATTTCATACCTCAACATCAATACGAGCATAGTAACCACAGCTTGTGCCCTATCATTGCGGGCGAAGTACTTGATGGTGCACTCTAAGAGAGTATAGTGTCCTTCCTTATTGCCTCTCTCTCCCCTGTAAATGTGACTTCTTTTTCGAGCTTCGGATCTCTCCATCTCGCCAGTGGAATAAGATCATGCTTGCAGATAAGCGTACAGGGAAAATTTTCAACCTATTATTCCTACCCCGCTAATCCTCATTAAACAATTCTTTGTATGATGAAAAGACCAGAAATGTTCTTCGAAGTTCCTTGACGAATTCCCTTATAGTGTTTGATCATAGCATGGCAATATAATTGTAAAATCATATACAACGATCATATCAGCAATTATTGTAGGTGATTCAAAAGAAGGTGCCTCCCCCTGCTCCACCAAAACGACCTCGCCGACCACTCGAAGCACCCACATTCCAGCAGACTCTCACCACCACGACAGTAGAAGAAGGAGACACAGCCAAACTAGAGGTGCGTAGTACGTCCCTGTCCAGTTTATTTATTTATTTATTTATTTATTTCCATACACTCGAGGTGTGCCCATAAAAACTATAAAAAATACACCGTGAAAGGACCATGGCAGAAACTACAGATGGGCTCGACGCATTAACGCAACCATGAACCTGACATCCGATAACAAACACGAGTCCTGGAGACTGGGCGCTAATCCCCTTTATATGACGCACCGACAATGCAGAAGCTTCAATTTACGCACTCAGTAGATTCCTGAACCAGCACTATCCGATGGGACCCGCAGGGGCATTCATTTCCTTTACTCTATTAATGAAACTGAAGACCCCCTTTTTTGTGCAATGGCTTTGAAACTGCTTCTTGCCTGGGCGAGAGAAGACATAGAAGAAAGAAATTGAATGCATTATGCACTGCTAAAACATGTCCTATTCTTTGCAACAAAGGAAGTCCTGAGGAACTGAGAGACATAAAGATCGTCGACATCACATATTTGATCCTTAGTTTGGACCGTGACTGAATGACTAGACCATGATTCCCTCGTTCCAGTGCTACACATAGGAAAAGTCGGACATTAGGATCACAAGGGCGGACCAGAGCCCAAGTGGGTCCGACGGAGTGGCTGAAACAGAAGCAGTAACCAATGAAATCGAAACAGTAAATTTCACTAGATTGAACTACCCAAGCCGCACCAAGCCAGACCGAGTTTGCTTGATGTTTTCTTAATACTGGCTATTTCTAAAATAAATGCATGACAGTCTGGTATGATTCTGCAGTATTCAGGTAATTACTCGAGGTGAACCTCTGCCTGAAGTGACGTGGACCTTCCAAGAGCAGCCGATTTACCAGAGCGAGACCGTCAAGATAGAAGAGTTTGTGAGTTTTTTTTCGGTAATCTTTACTTGGGCCTTGAGCGTAGTTTGCAAGGAACCAAGGACGTACAGTCAGTTAGAGTAGGTCGCAGGTATGGTTGTGATTCCTCCAAACGATATGGCATAAGGGGGAGGTTGAGCTGGATCGCAGCCAGAACAGCCTTTTCCGCCTATTTTCCGGACTCAGGATGGCATCATTTGTCTTTGAACTTTCTTACATGGTCCTGTTGCGAAACACTGTAGTGCAGAGGGCAACAGCCACCAAACAGGGAAAGGTGCAACAGCCATGTGGAGAGCTACGGGATGGGTTTTTAAAGAGTGGGGAGTTCGGGGGTAAGGCAATCATCTTGCAAAAAGCTGGAATGTGTGATATTACATTTTTCATAGAACGCCACGCAAAAAAGGGGTGCATAGAACAGAATATTGATAGGATTAAAAGGTTCGAGTTCAAGAGCTCGTAGACCGGCATCATTGAAGGGAAGGCCGAATCGGCAGCGCTCCAGTCCACGCCCTTTACACACCCTATCGTCCGCAAAGACCATGAGAGCCCACACGTTAAGATAGAAGGCCTACTTTGAACGCAGGTTAGTTCCGTTCGCAGAGGTAGTCCGAGAATAGAGATTGAGAAAGCCATGTTCGCGTAAGATTACGAAAAACCATACCAGAAATGTGCAGCTGATCAAACCGAGCCGAAACTAGTGGCTTTTTGGGATCGGCTCCTTTATTTCTCAGAGTATGTAAGATGAACGGAGGACAGCCCCCCCCCCCTTCTGAGCCGACGATGCTTTTGTTTGCGATGATTCTTGAGGCTCATTCCCTCGAAGGAAAACGACGAAACTCTCAAAATGTGAAGCACAAAACAAGTTTTTAAAGTTGTTTCCGTTATGATAACTGCTGTTTTACGCCGCAGTTCGCGTTCCGAATGTTATCACAAGAATGCTACGGCATAAAAGTTGTTGAGCTGAGAGGAGTAAAAGCGGCCCTGGTGGCGTAACGGATAGCGCACTCGCCCGGAAAGCGTGAGGTGCGGGTTCGACTCCCGCCTGGGGCACGACTTTTGCCCATAACTCAGCATTCTTGTGATAAAACCAAAACAGTTTCATGGAGGAAATCCATGCTCACATTGGCTGCAGCTGTGATTATCAAAGGTAATCGATCTTTTTCATGAGTTGGTTTCAGTTGGATGGCACTTCTCGTCTGATCATTTCACCGGTCACCACGACCCATACCGGAATCTACACAGCCACGGCCATAAACGAAATTGGCGAGGCGCGCACGTCTGCCCTTCTGAATGTGATCGAGAAGAAGACCGTCGATGAACACATGCTACAAGAGGTAAAAAGTAAAATGAGACATACACTTCATTTTATAGTCCACTCCACTGCATACAAATATTGAACCCGGAAAAATGTTGCTCAATGGGCTAGATTCACAATATTATGCTTGGCTTCTTCATTCAAGGGTAATTTCAATCAAGTTCAGGACACCTACGAAAGATTGCACGTCCAACGGAAAGAACGGAAGAAGTGACCCGGAAAGAAGAGATGCGGGTAAGAAAAAAAAATTCATTAATCGCAGGCCAGTTCTGGACCAGTTCTAGAAAATTAGTGAACTTCGCCTGTTCAAACGAAGGCAGAACCAGTGGATTTCGATAGGAGTCAAACAAGAGCGCGAAAACGCATGAAAACGAGTGCAAATGGGCAAAGGGAGATTTACCGTGCCGTTAATGAGCCAGTTGAGCAGCCACTTAACACCCCCATTTTACCAGGTTTCCGGGGCGAAACTGGTACAAGACTATCCATCGCAGTTACACCATGTACCTCCTGCCACAGCTTCGAGTGATCGGCACTTCTTCACGAAGTGGAACAATTTTGCCTTAAGCGCATCCTTTTGTCCCTGCAAGCCAGACCCTAAACTCAGCTCCCGGATAGATAGACTGCCCATTTTAGGCTGCTTGTGGTTTTTATTTTCGTGGTTTTCCAACTTTTTTTGTTCACTGTACATCGCACCCACATACAGTCGGCATTCCTGTAAACGATAGGGCGTGTGAAGTGGCACGAACTGGGGCACAGCCGGGATGGCCTTCTCCACCTCTTGCCCTCTTCTGAGCTCGTCACAACCGGTGGAAAAGGCGTTGTGCTCCAATACGAGCTACTTCGCACGTCTTAGACGTAGGCTGCATACAGTGTGGGTTTCGTGCCGCTGCAGAGGATTGAGCATTTGTTTCCAGTCGTTTAGGGACTGCGCTTGGCAAGTAGGCGGAGTTTGCGAGATGAAAAGAGGTTTGTGACTTAGTGTGACTTTGAAATGCGGAATAAACAGCTGGAGCAGTATTTAGAAAGACCTCAAGATGAGCAGTCATGACCCAGCTCGCGCGAAAGGGAACAAAAATAATTTTCTAAATTTAAATAGTATTACTTCAAAACACCAATATCTAGCGTTTAGTATGTCGAGGAGCAAGCAATGCCTGTAACAACGACAGAGACGAAGAAGAGTGAAAAGCGTTGGACTGAGGTTCGAGAACGACTTCTTTTTGACCTCTTATTCATAAAATACCTTTGCACTCGGTAAAACGACAAATGTGTGAGGAAAGAATCGATTGCAAGTTTTTCAAGAAAACGTTTCCGAAGGAATCAATCCAGTCCTCAAATACGAGGAAAATTCTAGTTGATCGATGAGCAGATGTCTCAGACGTCACCGGTTCCCGTTACAATTCCAGTGAGCCCTGAACTCAAGCGGATTGCAACCGAGAAGAGATGGGTTGATGTCAGCATGCGTTCAGAAGATCTATTTTTCATTTTCTTCTGAGATTATCACTTCTCTTCTTCCGATTTCTTCTACTTCTGGAAATCCTCTCTGTAATACTTCCCTTTCATTGTCAAGATTCTTCCAGGAAATAGACGAGATCCTCGAGCAACGTGCGCCTCCGCCGGTGACTACCGTCGAAGAAAAGGAGACAAAGACCGCCGAAACATATGTCAAAGTGAGTACAAGATCTATCAAGTGGAAGAAATTCGGACAACTTTTACAATTGCCAGATGATGGACGAGTTGATGCGAGATGGCTGTTCCGAAAACTGTGCGAGATGAGAAACGAACTGTTACTACGGATGAGTACGCCCACGAAGTACGGGTCCCTGAGAATACGCGGGAGAAAAATAAGAAACGAAGAGAACTAGAGAGAACAACCATTTAGGCTTATCGAGAGAACATTCCAATGAAAGTAAATTTATGGCGTGTTTAGTCACGCAATTTTATGCTACAAGGCCCTTCTGACAGCTTTGACTGTCGCAGAGGGGCCAGAGAAATGGAAGGAACTGTCAAGAAACAGGGAATTCCCACGTTGTGGAGTGGGGAGCGCGCTGCTTAATTCTGCACCGGACTCCAATGACACCGCTCCTTATGCCAGCAGTAGCGCTTCCTTGACTAGGCTTTGAAGAACTTGACCAAATTTGGCCTTACGGCTTCCAAAAATGCGATTCCTTCCATGTGGGGAAAACTTGGGCTATCTCATTCAGTTACCGGATACTCGCAGCATATGGCATAATAATTTGATACTCGGTCTAAAATGCTAGCAGGGTGCTATATAATGGGAAAATGGCGAAAGTAGATAGATAGGTAGATGCGGCTGCACGTATATACTCTTATATCCATGCCGCTTTCATATTAATTCCTTCGCTTCACTCAGCAAATGAAGCAAAACGAGCATCAGGTGCGGTCGTCCATTTGTGGGCGGGTGGGCGTGGTGGGGCGTCCGCTCGCTAAGAAATTCTTTCCCTCATTCTCCCGCCTCATCTTCTTTCGCAAATGAAGGGATGCGAGCCGGTTAACCATCGAAATGGATATTAGATTATTCAGGGCTAGTCCAAATCGGATGGTGGGCAGCTTGAGTGAAGCCTTAGCGTACCATTTTGGAAAGGCGCTTCGCAGCGTTCTCTTAGCTTTGATAATGAGGCCAAATATGTTCCCAAAATCAAAGGGACCTCGTTCAGCCGCCAAATCAACGTCGGAATAATCGAAGGGAACCTCGTTCTCTGCTGCTCTTTCTGTTTCCTTTGGTTGTTTAATAAACTCGAACTTCTTTTTCAACAGATTCACGAGGCTCATCCACCGCCGCCAGTGCAAACGACTAGCACAGAACGCACCTCCACTGAGGTCTTCAATATTGCGGTAAGAAACTCGTCTCCATTTACACTCCTTATCCCTGAGCCAGAGTAGGCGTGGCATTTGGACATGGCACGGAATTGGTTACTCGTGGAATATTCCAGTCTGGGACAACTGTCATCTTGTTCTGTGTTGGACAGAGACACGGCAACAATTGTGTGTTTAAGAATGGAATATCCACCAGAACATAGACCTTCAGATCAAGTTGAAGAAGCAGCCACACTAACCCATTCAGGATTTCGAGTATAGTACGTGTGTCACCATGTATCAACGTGGAAAGAACCTTGTAATATTCAGCAAGTTCGTGAGGCGATTCCGCCGCCGCCGGTTGAGACGACTACCACTCAACGTGTCTCCACAGAAGTTTTCAGTGCTGGAGTAAGCTTTTTTTTGATGAAGCAGCTACCTTACGTAACATGAAAAATTCCATTTCTGTTATATGGATGAAGGCCTACTACGCGTGGATAGTGGGCGGGAGATTAAGGATTAGCATGCGCCTTCACACGAATGCGCCTCTTCTTTCTTGAACGGTAGAAGAGAAGAGCTGTCAGTGAGAAAGACGCAATTGGTATGCACATTCTCGCGCTATCATTGTTGTGTCTCGACCGAGCTATCCTCTCCCACCATTTCTATCGTTCTTAAAGACACTTCTCGCGATCAAGTGATCAGCGAAATGCCTCCGTGCATTTGGCATCGTTGTCCGCACTCGCAGAGAATATACCACTTTCGTCACTCGAAATGGCGAGATAACGAAGCTAGAGACGCGTGAGTTTTGCAACCGGTGCAACCGCGTACTGTAACTCTGCAAGACAACGGCTTACAAGCGGAATTGCGTGTGTACATAGCGTTGCCTGGAGCGTCGTAGGGCGATTCCCTATTCTCTGGGAATAGTATGCACCTAGAATCCTCGTGATTGGACTTGTCCCATGATGAACTCGTCCAAACTGCCGGCTCCACTGCTAAGGGGGGAGGGGGCGGGTTGGTGCTCGGAGTGTTTCCAAACTTTTATCCGCTCCTTCCTTTACTGATGAGTTTTTGATGAGCTGCTGCTTCACGGCTAAGCGCCCGCTACCTGTTACACTTGATCGCGGAAATTGTTTTCGAACATGTCACTGTTCAGCAAATCCATGAAGCTCGGCCAGCACCAAAGGTTGAAACAACCACCACTGAAAAGGTCACGATGGAGGTATACAATGCCGGGGTGAGTACTACGTTACCTCCACCTGAACGAGTTGAACGATTTTTACCTGAATTTTAAGGCTTATTATGAGGCGATTCCACCGCCCGAAGAGAAGAAAAAGTACACGGCAACGACCACCAAGCAAGCCGATCACCTCTACACCGCTGTAAATTGTGGTCCAGTTGTTTACAAATAAGCTCACTAAAAGAAGTTTAATTTTCAGAAAGTTCAACCAACTCCGGAAGCACCTGATGTACAGGTCGCTACCGCTGCCGAGATTGTTGAAAGAGAGCACGCAGCGGTGAGCGCTATTTTACTTTTATTTTCTTGAAGTAGTATTTCACTCTTAATATAGAATCCTTAATGCGCTCCTTAATGCAGCCCAGTGAGACAAAACATGTGAGCATAACCAGCGGGGTGTTGTAATGGGAACTACACATTTTAGCAGGTATGAGATGGCGCCTACAAATGTGTATCAGGAAAGTGTAATTCCGAAAGCTCTTTGTCTTTGAATACGACGCATTACACGTTTTGAGCTTATCGACTCTAAAATGGCGATCATTTTCAGTGGAGGTACCGCCAAAGGGCCAATTCATGAGAACATCAAAAATGAGGTTCTGGTTGAGAAACTCTGTGTCGATCTGGGCTATCTTTCTGCATCTGGTACTAAGGAGGGGACCTGTGAACAATACACCTTTCTGGCTGCAACCCTCATTTCTGGCTGAATCGTATGATTCAGAAAAGATCCCAAGATCAGCCAAGGGCTCAAGCTCTCCATGCGAGCGCACGATGCTCAGCGGCACAAGTAGGTCCCCTCTTTCCCTAGCTTCAACGAGATACGTGGAGCCTTTTGATTTCGTATGTAGATCCGGATATCGCGTTTCCGATGCAAGATGAGGATACGAGATTCCAAAAAATTACCACGATTTTTTTTCGGAAGATTTCAATATTAGCGCTCGATGTACCGGCAAGCCCTGTAGTTCATGAGGAAGGAAATCACATTCTTATGTTCATGTGAACGTACCTAAAAGCGGTAGTCACCACAATCTCGGGAAAAAGGAAAGTAAGTCTCTAGGCAGGTGGCAGGTTGTATGGCTGATTTCGTCGCAATCGTTCAGGAGGGGGGGGGGGGTGTCAAGAGGGAACCAATAAGTCCGCTCTCGGTGTTTTCTACCAGCAAAGACCGCTTGGTCATCGATCAGAGAGAGAAGAGCCAGTCGCCGAAATCGCTATACAGTCGCGGCAAAAAAAAACTTGGAACAAACCCAGGTCGCGCGCTTATTAATAGTTTTATATACAATTTTTAAGTTTCACATGATTTGTTTGCATTTGTTTGCTCAAATCAAGCACGCCTCAAAATGCTATTCTAAAAAATAAAATTTGTTAATTAGATTCATTAGGGAAAGAATTTTGAAGATTATTGCGATGCGGGCATGCCGTTGTCACTCTGATATTGGACCGGTTTTCAAAGTTTCTAATGCTTTGGGAACAACATAGGTTTCTCGAGAGTTGTAAAAAAAGAAATGGAAGAAGGGAGCGAACACTCAGACAGGTGTGATCTTCTTCCGATGGATTGCAAAGCATTAGAAACTTTGAAAACCGGTCCAATATCAGAGTGGCAGCGGCATGCCGCATCGCAATAATCTTCAAAATTCTGTCCCGGTAACGAATCTAATCAACAAACTTTATTTTTTGGAATAGCATTTTAAGGCGTACTTGATTTGTTTGAGCAAACAAAGTTTTCATGTGCAATTTAAAAATTGTATCATGAGAACCTTATTTGCGTAGTATGTAAAACTATTAAAAAACGACTCGAGCTTGTTCCAAGTTTTTTTGCCGCACTGCAGGTGGCCTGCGATCCATGCCCCTTAACACCGGTGCGGATGATTGCGACGATATCTGTGGGCTTGGTTGCAGAAGGTGTGCATCGAAGTGCCTCACGGAACCATAATTCCTTCCTTTACCGCTGTTTCTTCTACGGATGACGGTACCGCTTACTTCCCTTCATCCGTTTGTGCTGCAATCCTTGAGATGGAGTGTCATAGCATGGCTCTCCTTGCAGCCAATATAGGCATAG